TTTCGTATTCTCACTGTGTTGATATTGATATAAACATGATGTAGATTTAACCTTCCATCCCTCCATATAGCACATTTTATCTAAAAAACATCGTAGTAACATCTTTAGAACATTCAAGAGCAATTCAATAGAGAAGTCCTCTAAACGTCTTTAGAAGTTCCTTGGAAGTCTGTATGGACACCATTTAAAACCATATCATATTGATATTAATATTAACACCAATATCAACACGTTGAATATTATATACAGACATCATATAGTTGTGTGAGTGTGTTAAATCCACACACACACACACACACACATCCGACATGTTATTGATCTTGGATTACATTACAGAATATTCTGTAACAAAGTGACATGTATTGATCTTGGATTACATTACAGAATATTCTGTAACAAAGTATTTTATACATGTATACATATTTGGATATTTTATATATATGATAATATGTAATTACATGTGGAATATTATTATATGGCATCACATATAATCATATAAGGAACATAAAATATTCTGGGACGGCAAAATATCTGGAAAACTATAAGTTTTATAAAAAAATGTTTTAGATAAAAGTTGTAGAGTTTAAGAAGGCCTAGCCGCTGACTTTATCAGTTTGACTTTAGGTGGCGTCAAGATAGGACAAAGTTAATTAAGATTTTTTAATTGAGGCCCCCTTACTTTTTCTTTCATTTTCTTATAGTTCTTGAGATCTTTTCAAAACACTGTAATTTTATCCATTTTAGATCAGCCGTTTAGAAGTTATTGAGTATTTTATGGTGAGATGTCAGCGATTGTAAGTGAATCGAACACAAAAACTGTTCATTTTTTTGTGCTCAAACTTATATGTTTAGTTTAGCAGGTCATAAGCTATATGAGAAACTATTGGATTTCATCGGGACCCAATTTCAGGATTAGTACGGGATCTTTTATTTATTGTTTAATTTATATATATAATAAATATTATATTCCATTAAGTTTCGGTAATCATTACTGGTTTACTATTTTGGTTTACTAATTATTACTTTCAAGTTAAAACTATAAAGAAATGTATCGTGAAATGATTTTATTAAAATTCTGTATTTAATATTAAAATGTTTTGATATTATCAATATTTCTATACGTATCAGTAACATTTTATTATATTCCTTAAACAGGTTTAAATTATTGTGCGGCGAATAGCATCTGATTTACGAAGAAAGAAAGGAAAAACGATATTTTTAGTGATATTCGCATTATATCAAAGACATTATCGACTTCAATGATAATGAAGCGATTGATGTTATTGGGTTTTCTAATCATCATAGTATCATGCCACGAGCCGTTTCAAGTAATTTTTGAATGGAAGTCGATTGACTTCCAATGGCCATCGGACGAAGAGCGGCAATATGCTGTAATGCGAGGCGATTACATACCAGCAAATAATTTCATCACTACTGTGAAATTTTGGAAGGATAAAATGTATCTGACATTACCACGATGGAAAGACGGCGTGCCAGTGACGTTAGGGATGACATCGGCGAAACCAATTAACGGCATTACATCGCCTAAATTGGAGGCCTTCCCCACCTGGGATATGCAGAAATTGGGTGACTGCACGGCATTTCAACTGGTCCATGGCATGGAAATAGATCCTAAAGGTCGCATATGGATACTTGACACTGGTCGACCCACATCTCTCAGAGAATTCAAAGCCAACTGCTCGCCGCGTCTTGTCATTCTTGATCTCGAGAACAATGATAAGATCATTCGTACTTATCAGTTCCCTGAGCATGTAGCTCGCCGCAAAACTGCGTACCTTAATGATATTGTTCTCGATCACGAGGATGGCGGTATGGCATATATTACCGACACTGATATTACTGATCCTGGCATTATTGTGTACTCTTTAAGAGACAACAATTCTTGGAAAATCCGACACGATTCTATGAAAGCAAAATCGGAGGCGGTTGGATTCATGGTAGCAAAGACGCATGTAATCAATCCAGTGCACGTGGATGGCATAGCGCTTTCACCAGCAAGCAGTCGCAACAGGTGAGGTAGACCTTCCGATTACTAACTCCTTTCGCGTAAGATTTCCTTTTTCAAAGTCATTGAAATGTATCTGTTGTAATTTTTTTACATTTTTCATCCTTATTCTAATAACACATTTGCAAAATTAAATTGTTGCATGCTTTGTCTCTTATTCATATCAAATAGCATACAAATACAAAGAATACAGCGCAAGAGGAAAACGTCACTTTATAGAACGATGATACTGTTCTCATAAAATAGAGAATATTACAATATAAAACTTTACAAAATAAATAAGCGGTTGTGATCCGCACGCACGCACGCACACACGCACGCACTCACGCACGCACGCAGAGCCTTGAAATTGTGCAAATTTTCTTCAAATGTTTGTTTTCTTTATGGCATTTCCTTATGGAAATAGCGAAAATAAATCAAAGAACTCATAATATGGGGCTAATAATTTTCTGTCTTGTTTCTTCATGTTTTATTCTTCATGTCTTATTCCTGGTTTTAAAAATAATATGAAAAAACTTAGAAGTATACGGAAATATGAGAAAATATGCGCATATATTATATATACGAAAATTATATATTAGAAGAATTTATTAGTCCTCGTAATATATGATTTTCATTTGGGATGAGACACTCGAAACCCTCGAAGCTTGAAAAAGTTTCCAGTTTTAAAAATTCGAAACTTCGTGCTATTTTTTGCAATTCGAAACTCTTGAAACTTGACGCAGAGATGTTAGTTTTAAGACACAATTGCACATGGAAGGGAGACTCGTGAATCAAGAAGACTGTCGAAATTCTTCATTAACGGGATGAAAAAATTGGTTCATCTTTTGGAAAAATGTATAGCTATATATGAATCTGTGTTGTAAAGTATGCTTTTCTAAGTTGGAAGATAATTGAAGAAACAGATGCAAATAATGATTTATTATCCTAATTCTCAGAAATTCGAGTTTCTCTTTTCCTCCTACGAATACCACTAAGTTGTGGCTATATAAGCGAGACGAATAAAAAGGCCAGCGAAATTATAATTTTTTGACCGATAGTTAAATACAAAGAAGCTCTATCACTTAGGATATCGAACACTGCAAAATATGTTTTTTAATGAGAAAGTACACATATACTTATTATGGTAGTTCATTTTCTTTTTACCCTCCCCCTCCTCTTGCTAAGGAGTCAAATTGCTTGCCCGAAAAGAATGGTTCATTGCTCTTTATAAAAAGAATCAAAAACGCTTGCATAAAACGCTTGATTCATTTCCTTGTATCTGGGAGCGCTTAAACGAAGCGCCTGAGTCATTCTGTCTTGCTTCCAATTCTTACTACTCAATAGACTATTTGCTTTACCATAATCTCATAATTAAGTATTAATTATCTTTGTCTCTCTTAATTCCGCTTACAATATTGAATATCAGTTTTTCATCTCGTGGCAAAAGCATAACTGTTTCCTTTATGACATTTCCAGACAAGATATAGCGAACATGACGCGGGAGATCGCGAGTCAGTTCTTCACCTCTCTAGTTATCCTCTAGGATGTAAACTGATAAAAAATATGCTGTCCGAAAATTGCACGTGGAAAGTTTTTGATTGTGAGATAAATTTTCAATTCTTTCGTTTATCAAAATAAGTTCATATCCTTCCCAGTGAGAATTTCCCAGTCGAATCGACGTCAAATTGGTAATTTCGAAGTCGAATGTTATCAATGTCATAATCTTGAATAATCTCAAGTTTCAGTCGTTGTTGTTCGTTAAAAAGTTTCGTTATTAATAAAAAAGTTTCAAAAATAATGTCTTATTTTTGCATACATACAATTAAGAATTATCCCACACTCTCCCCTGTTTACGTAATGACTGTTCACGCGAAGCGAAGTTCACTCTACTTTCTCCTCTGTCTAGGAGCGCACGACTTTTCATGGCAAGCGATCCTCCTTCCCTGCATCAAACTTTCCATACGCATGAAGTCTACATCCCTTCTTAGAAAGTCAGATGCTTCTAGGCATCAAGGGAAAAGTGGAGTAAAATTCGATTCACGTGGAAAGTCGCCCTTTGGGCGCCCCTTGATAGGGTCAATAAGATGGGATGGAACTCGGTTTGGAAAATCATGGAAAATCATGGAAACATGAAATTTTTTGTAAATATTTACATCTGTACAATACAGAAACATATCTAAATTGTTAGAACATTCTTATCTCCTTTATCTTGTTTTGATATAGAGCATTATGTAAATTATATGACAGAGTATATACGTAAAATATATAGTAAATATATAGTAAATATATAGTAAATATATATCTTATGTTCAAAAATTATGTTCTATTTATTAAAAATTGTTATGTTCATAACTTTTTAATGTATAACGATTAAAATCTGTTGGAAGTCATTCAGAGTCATAACCTTGACAACATATATATTAGGTGTTGGAATTAATTCGTAGCGTTTTACAAGTGATGGGAAGTACTTTCATTAATGTATTTTTTAATGCTCATGTGAAATAAATAACATTCTTTCATTAAAAAACGCTACGAATTAATTCCAACACCTAATACGTCAAAGTCATCGGAGTTGGCTGAGGCGAGCCATTGACATATTTATCGAATCAAGAATTTTTAGTATTTCTAGTTACGCAATAATTAATTTCATAATCATATTCAACTTAATAATTATATAAATTATTTATTTCTCAATTAACGTTTTGTCCCTTTAAAATTAAGACTGAGAATACGCTCAATGGTAGCCTCGTGCGTATTCTCATGGGTTTGTCGCTCGCCCTGAGATTTGTCATCTGATCGTATTTCTCTATTTACTTTAAAATAAATGTTCCTACCTTCTTAGATACAATAATTACTGTCAACTTTCTTATGATCCACCACCCGTGTATTGCGTCCGCTCTGAATATCGCTCTGAATATTATTTTCCTATCTGGATATCGTTTATTTTCCTATCTGGATTAGACGTTACATGACATTAACAAGTGAGAAAGGATATAATAAAAAGTGATTCTATATTAATATTTAAATGTTTATTATATATATACATATGTTTTAAATAAAGATGTAAGTCCTTCAAACATTTTAAATAAAAAAAATAAGGAGCTTTAACTATGTTATTCTTTAAAATAAAATAAAAATAATAGAATTTCTTGTTATAGTCTCTATAAGAATATTTCAAACTTTGTTTTTCCCTTTTTTGTATACAGTATACAAGTTTGTATAAAGTATACTACAGTATAAAAGTTTGAATAAAGTATACAAATTTGTATAAAAGTTTGAATAAAGAAAGTAAACATAAGAAACTTCATAAAAAATAAAAAATTTGAACAAAGGGAGCTAAATATATGAAATTTCATAAAAAATGTATAATATATGTAAGAGTATATAAAAAATTAAGATTCTGAGAAGAATTAGGACTTCTTTAACTTCTGTCTCTAATTCATCAACCATGTTTTGATGGCAGCAGTTTTATGTTTTAATGTTATTGGGTTTTTTTTAATTAACTCTTGAATGTTGTATAATGATGGCAACTTTTTTTTCGGAATATAACTTCCAAAGGTATCCAATACAATCTTTTTTTCATTACCAAGATATTCTTTTACACTTTCCGTACGGTGACACTAAATAAAATATAGAGAATGTTTAATAAATAGAATAAATAGAAACTATTAAATAATTTCCCAATCGTATTTTTAGTAGATGATGTTTTTGAAGCATCCACAGTTACTTTCTATATAGAAGCTATTTGTTCCGCGAGTTATATCCGTGTCCAGATCCATTATTGGAGTGTCAGCGTTTTGTAAACGTTGCAGTTTGCTTCAGGATGAGAAGCAGCCTGATACAGTAGTTTTCAAGCAAGAACTCGCCCTCTGTATTTTTATGAAGTTATATTAGTAAATAAACATCTTAGTTTTACGTTAAGAACTTACTAGAACGACGTTTCTTTTGAGAGAAATATTTTTCCGATGTCAGTATCACTATCACTTGAATAAGAATTACTCGAAGCTGGAATATTACAATAAGAATATTAGTAATTTTCTAGAATCTAAAATATTATTTTAGTGTGTTAATACCTTTGATATACATAATTGAGTCATTTACGTCTTCAGTGTTGTTTTTTTTCTTAAATTAGGACTTAATTAGGAACACCTCGCTAAAAACCATCGTATATATTAAGGATTAATAATAAGAACTACATAAGTTCTAGATCATACAAAATAATTAAAATCATACGTAATTGTGCTATGTCATGATTATCAAGAGATAAATTTTGTTGTACTTTTCTGTCGAGTTTCTTACTTGATCTTCTTTATCTTGCATAGTAATGCTAAATGTTTCTAAAGAAATGTTATATCTAAAGCAGATAAAAATCCAGAAAAACTTGTTGATATTATCAAAACTTATATTAATATAAATTTATTGAAACAATTTTTATTAAGTTTAAAAAATTAATTTATTTATTATATATATATATATTTTATGCATATTTTTCATCTATTTATATACATATATTTATTTTATAAAGTTTTAATTTATCATCATTTTTGTTTGAAAGCTTTTATACAGAATGTCTGACAATTAATGCAAAAGCTCTCGCATAGCGGCAGAATGAACTTTAGTCTCGATTTACCGAATAGAAAAGTCCTCTACCATTTTACAATTTCCGCAATAGTTAACGAGATATTAATTTCTAAATATTGCTGAATAAACGGATAAAATCGACGCATAAAACAATTTTAAAACATCTTTTAATGTTCCTTGTGAAATATTTTGAAGATGTTTCTTAAAGATATCTTAAAATTGTCTTATGTGATTTCAGACATTTTAATTATTGGGTAATTAAAAAAAAATTTTGCGAAAATTGCAAAATGGTAGAGGATTTTTCTACTCACAAGGAAAGGGATCCAATTGTCCCCCTCCGATCATAATAAGCTTTTAATATATTTTTCTCCAAACAAAATAAGAGATTTTTTTCAAAAATAACGTATTTTTTTATAGGTGTGCTAATGCACTTTTAAGGGGTG